TCTATTGACGTGACAAACTGACAAATCCACAATAATTATTGCTAGTAAGAATGAATGCAGACTTAGATGGATCTTTCAAAATGAAACCTGTGCACAGCACTAAATCTTAATATAATCTACAAATCTACAATACATCTAAGACAAAAAAAAAAATGTTCAGTGCAGCTTCTTGTAAAACCACTCCTCATTTGGACTGGATGAGGATATCCTAACTTCACCAGAATGCTAGAAAACATTTATTCTAGAACTGGAAAGCAGACTAATTCTTGGGAGAAAAAACAAAACAAAACAAAACAACAAAACTGTAATAGTGTTTGTCATTGCACCAATAGCCCAGAGACATCCTTATTGAGATCAGCTTGACATATGAGGACCATTGTAGCTCACAAGACAACTGTATCTCTAAAGCAGAATATTCTGGAGGAGTTCATTAATTTAAAATACTTTTCAATGATAAATACTTAGGACACTCTATTAAATTCTGATTTTGACATTTATTGTTGTTTTTTTTTAATGCTTTTGCATGGTACCATTAAGTGACTTTTTTTTACTTTGTATGCAAGGAAATGTTTGCATTTCTTTCTACATCAGACAGGATGAAGTGCCTAGATATAATTTAGAAACATGAAGAAACATGGCCTGAAGCCAAAAATCTGGGAAAAATGATCACAGAATGAAGTGATTCCTGATGTTTCAGATTTACACAATTAGTGCCTTTTTAGGACTATAATTTCACAGGGTAGAAATCATGTACAGTATGTGCCTATTTCTAAATTGCATTTCTTGGTATATGGTATTTGGTATTTATTATGATCTTGGTTACAAAAACTTATATCCTGCTGTCTCCCACAGAGAACTCTTATAAGAGTTTTGTTGTATCTGATTATATTTTATTCTGCTAGTAAGAGACGTATGATTTTTGATTGTTTAAGAAAATCTTAAACAGGAAGTCAAACTTTTGGATGATTATCCAGTTCATATGGAAAAATCGTTTCAGGTTCCACAGTTTTCTCTCATATTATAAAAATAAAATGGATGTTTACAATTTTAATAGGAAATGTGAAGAACTGCACAATCTGAAAGAGAAAATTCTTATATATCTAATCTGTACATAAATAATGAAATGTAATAGTTGCAGAGAGACTAAAAAGGAGCTTTTTATTGCTTTAAATCATATTTAGATGCTTAACACAGAATGCACCTCAGATGATTATGGTATATAGTATCCCCTGGAGCAGATATTTCTCAATGGATTATGATCTAACACTAATAAAAAAGTTTTATTATACCATCATTAAATCAGATAAATCTCTCCCAGAGAAAGCATTAATAAATTGAGATAAAATTTGAAGAAATGCATTGTTAAGTTTTGTCTCTCTATATTTTTATATATATGTGTTATATATGTAGGCAGAACTTATGTATACATGCATACATACTTAGACGTGCACACACAGATGAAGACAGACAGAAAAACAAACATTTAAAATACATAAGCATGCTTATGTGGTCTTAATCATGACCTTTTAGTTTTTTATTAAATTAGGAAAAAGAATAGAAGAAAAATCAGTTGCTATGTTGCTACTGAGCTGTAACTGTAAACTTTTCCTTGGTGCAATTGAATGTTTCTGACTCAGTTATTGTCTCTTACTTAGTAAAAAATGTTTTACCCTTTATGGACTACCTCAACTACAGAATAGTTAGATTAATGCAATCTGAAGGTTGAAAAAGAAGGGACTAGGATACCTAGGAAAAAAATTTCTTTTCATTTTTTCCTTTTTTTTAAATAAGAAGATCGTAGTGATTAAAATCTCCCTTATTATGACGTGGGTTTCTTCTTCACTAGATTTTTTTTTTCCCCAGAAGCCAAGACCTTTGGAATTCCTCAGTCCTTGGGCCATTAAGTTGTTCTTCATTAACTGTGCCTTGCCTCCCCTTCATTGCCTGCTTTTCTCTCCTCCCTGGCATATGCTGCTGACAGACCACAGAGTGGGAAGCACTCCTCATCTCATGATAGCTTCGAGCTTGTTGCAGGCTTCAAACTTTTGGAGACTGTATTTTTTTGACATATTTTATCTGGAATGATTTTTTTCAGAGAAGCATTTTATATTGAGGTCATCACAGCTACCTAAAAACCCTTTTAACAGGAGAAAAGCTTAAAAAGAAAACAGTATTAGGATTAAGTTGCAACAAGATCAAGTTATTGATTACAAAATTGGAAGTGAATTTACAATCAAAAAGCATTTAGTGCAGAACAGGTAAGCTGGGAACTAACCTTTCTTTCCTCATCTAGGATTTCTCATGCTTCGGCTGTCTCATACTGTCTGTAAAGAAAAGCCTTTAAGAAATGAATTTCTTCTCCAGTTTCCATCTTGTGTTCTTCTGGCTATTATTCAGTGTAATAAAAAGGCATTTCATGATTCCTGTGACTTTCTAAGGTTGCTCATTGCAGTGCAGCCATGCTCAACACTCTCAAACATTAGGTGAATAGCTGGACACCTTTTCCATGACAGACTGCGGCTAGCTTGAGTGTGATGGGAACCTGTATGTTCATAGGACTGAGGTGTCCAAATTCTCCAACTCTGACTTCTTTCTGTTTTCTTTGAGGGTTTTCTCAAAAGCATGCCTAGCACCTATCACAAGTGGCCTGCAGGCAGAGAAAGATTTTGAGGTGACCCCTCATTATTGATGTTTCAGCACACCATGTGCACCTGAAGAAGCTGATGCATCCCTGTAACTTAAGTATGCACCCACCAAGGCATGCCCTGACACTTGCAACCTGCTTCATTTCCAGCTAGGATGGAGACCTGTGAACTGAGAAACACAGAAACACTGGGGGAGAGCAGGGACTGCCCCAGTTCCCTGCCACACCAGCCAGTGACCTGTTAACACAATCACAGCCTACTTCAAGCTCCAGGTTCAATGCTTTCCCTCTTCTGTGACACGCATTCCACTTCTCCCCCTTCCACCAACACATTTGTTTTCCAAATAAGGGACAAACACCATCTGAAACACACTCTGGAAGCCTAACATGTTTTGTGGCAGTGTCTAGATCAGTCTACAAAATGTGGTCACCTCAAGCCTCAGGTGCTTAGAAGGCTGCTGGCTTAGGTGACTATCTAAGGTTTGACTTAATCAATCTTGGCATTATTCCAACATTAAAATATTTTGCAATTTTTGCTGGGTATGCACTGCCCCCCTGAAATGAATGCTAACTACCCTCAGTGAAAGTGAAACAGAGCTTTCAAAGCACAACCACGACATTGGATCTAGGAGTGGAACAACATAATTTTCATGTCAGGGAACTATCACTTATTTTGCACTTGCACCAGTTCTAAGTTTTTAACATGCTTTTAAACAACAGATTAATATATTCTTGTAACTTCCTGATATAAGTCTAAGTATTGTAGCTTCACATTCATTCACAGTTAAACTTTCCCATCTGTGCCTGAAAGTGACATTTTCAAATTAACTCTTTCATATTCATCAATAGCTATTTAGTTTTCTAGAAAATGTCTTTTCCAAATGCAGCCCTTCTCAAATTATTTAGTTTCTTAGAACTACAAGAAAACAAATGTGATTAATTCTAAAAATCACAGTAAAAACCAGCCATGAATAATTACACTTTTTATTGAAATAGTCTCACCCATGCAGTATATTTAGTAAGTCAGCATCAAAGCCCCAAAAAGTTCTCCCTTCTGCTTTTTTTCATCAAAAATATCTCAGTAAGCAACATTAGTTAGGATAAAAATGTGTGGAATCACTTTGTTTTTTGTTCCTTATGCTTGTTCAAGCAAAAAGGTAAGATCATCTAGGATTGTCATACAGAAGTTTTCTGAGTTGGTACATCAGAAACAATACCTTCAGAACAACAGAAAGTAGCTCTAGAGGGAAATATGTTACATCTTCCTTTTCTATAATTGTTTCTGAAAACATATATATGAGCATCTCAGAATATTACCTGAATAGCATGAATAATTTAAAGCAATATTTTATTAATATTAAAACAAAGGAATTATTCTCTGTCCACTATTAGCCATATACTGGCAAGGACCATAAAATGTTCTGCCAATGACTGTCAGAATTAATTTGCAAGCCGCCTGCTTTTTCTGGTGCTGCAGAATGTAGTGAGTTTTGCTTCCCTTGTTTTTTTTTTTTTAATGAGATTTAGAAAACCACCAGATTTGTTTCCATTTGTTTCTGTAGCTAACATGCTAGAGAATCTATCAATAGGCTACTGTTCTGACCCCAAGCCATAATTCCAGCATAGCCTACTGAGGACTATTTATTTCTTACAAGTTGCCCTCTGTGTCCATCTACAAATGAGATAGATTGTCAATCCTGCAAACTCTAGTAACTCATGCACTTAGCTTTGGAGTCTTAATTACCTGTACAGCAGTAGGAGACCAAAGTGAAAAAAATATACCCACCATCCACTAGGCTAGAAAACAATAAGCAAAATGTTTTCTTCATGCATCAATTTCTCTCCATTTATCTTTACATATATATATTCATACATTCAGAATAATCAGGTCCTATTATATTAACTTCTCACTGTTTTCTGGATGGTTTTAGACCAGTACAACATTTACAATTACAGAACATCTTTGAAATTCTTCAAATAATCGCCAAAGCAAAGAAGTCTTTGAAGCAGAATTTACACCACTATATCTGTATATACAAATATATAGAAAAGGGGAAGTTTGGAAAGAAAAGCTCAGGTAAACATAACTGTAGACTTTCAGCAAAGGTAAAAACCAGCATCTGGTTTAATATTCCAATATCTGAAACATTAAAGAGTTTATTATTCAGTATCAATTGCTACCAATTTTTTCGTGAACAACAATCTTTTAGATGATATATGGCACATCTCTCCATGGAACAATGTTTAAAGTCTTTTCCATGAAATTATTGTCAACATACCGTCACATTGTCTTCATACATTAACACATCAAATACCTTCATAAAATCTAAATATAAATTATGTGTTTGCTACTTACCTAACTGGGTCTCCTGAATTGTTAGCTTACTCTCCAAGGGATGCAAAAGCTTCGGTGGTTTATCTGTTAGTGGTGCTAGAAAAGAAAGACATTCACATATTTAGTTTTCTGATTATTATTGGGTAGCATAAGACTTGATTTTATACCTATTGTTTCAGATATGTTTCAGTTTTTCTTTTGTTTAAATAATGCTCATGTGTTCAGTAGCTGTAAATATTTCTGCTTAGAGAGTAAATATAGCACTGATATTTAGAATCTTTCACATGCTAAGATATTGAATTCACTTCCATTAATAAAACTCATCTCTTTAAACTCTCACAAAAAACATGCACTGATATATTATAATTTTGTATTTTCATAAATATTATCCAGCATTTCATTGTTTGTTATAATATTTAATTACCTTTCTATCAAATGTAGTTATTAACAGAGAAATAATATGATCAAAGTTACTGTAAAACAATTTTGAAATTTTGATTAAAATTGTATTTAAAAGATATTGCCGTCACTGAAACATTTGACAGTAGAATACTAGGAAAAAGGCTCAGTTTTCAAAATCCAAGGGACAGATACAGTGAAATAATGTCAAGATTAGTAAGATTACTTTCTAAGAAGATTATTTTCCTCCTCCTTTTTGATCTGCCCTGAAATAATACTAGGAGACTTACGCAAATTTTGTAATAGGAAGAGTTTTGTAGTGGTCAAAAAGCTTTTGAAGGTTGTTGAAGCATGTGCACACCATGCGTCTAAATAGTGCAGTCATTCCACTAGATTTATATAACATCTTCATACTTTATTCACAGAAGTGATATTGATTAGTACTACATTTGTTGTTGATAGCAAGTGTAATCCTTACTGATCTCTGACAGGTAAGTGCATGCAATATGAAAAAAAAAAAGAACATTTATTTATTTTTTTCTTTAAAATTTATAGTAAATGTTCAGGGGAAAGCTCCAACCTGGAACACTTTGATATTTTGCTTTTCAACATTAATTCATACTTCAGTCTTTAACACAGATTATGGGCTGTCAGAGATTTAAAGTACATTTGACATTTTGATATAACTCTATAATATTTCTTCCCTCCAACTTGTCAAAATCACTGTTCCCTTTCTTACTGACACATACATCCACATGTGTATGGGTTTAATCTACTAAACATACTCATCTTCTGTCAGCTGAATTGCAGGAGAGGTTTATGCATTCCCTTTACTGTTTCCTCTCCTCTTTGATTAAGGTATGATGCCTTTTAAAATCTACAATACAAATTTCAACTTCGCAACAATGACAGAATGGATCCATTATCTACTCACATGTGTCTGCATTACAGAGGTTTTCCTTTATCTGACCAGAGCACAAACCCACCCAATTGGTGTCTGCAATTTTGACCCTATCAAATCTAGGACTGAATCAAAATATTTCTTCAAGGATAGGAAAAGAACAGGATTTAGTCCACAGACTTTTCTTCCATTAATTTTTCCAACAACAGGTTCTACTTTCTTATACTTTTCTAGGAAATAATTCTAGACTATCGACTCTGGAGAGAGCCACAGCTGTGAAAGACTTTTCTTTACACTGTTTTCTGATTTGAATTATTTTTAGCTCATTTTTCTTTTCTCTTTTGTCTTTTTTTTTTTTTGGTCGATGGGAGATAATATGGATAGAAGGCAAAGGAATTCAAAATACATTTTTTCTTAAACTGAAAAATTAGTCATTTCCATTTCTTTACTCCTCTGTAAAGGCTCATAATTTATCAGCACATTGCAATTTTTTAACCATCATCCACTATGAATTTAAATTTAGTTTTGCAGTTCTGTCATTTTCAAGTCAATTACCATTCATCAGATAATATCTTCTGAGTCACTGTTGTTCTAAATCTGTTTTGAAACTCTTCCAGCAAACAAAGTTTTCTCATTCTAAGTAAAGATATAGTAACTGGTGGAGTTAATCTGAATGCAAGAAATAAGTAGATTAGAAAACAGTTTTTTTCTCAGTTAAGGAAAGACTGACATGTGATAGTCACCAATACCTGTGGCCAGGAAGAATTAATGCTTAATAAGACGCTGCACCTCTAAGCTCTTTAAATTGGGGCAAATATCAGTATTTCAGTGTTGCATTCCCTACTGATGCCTGCCAATCTAACACTGCTGTGGGTATGTCTGTACTACAAGCAATCACATCTTCCAGGGCAAACTCATTAACCCATCTTGAAAATGAAAAAAAAAAAAAAAATACCCTGGGTATTCTGCATTGGAGAGGTTTAGGCTGTAGGGAAATATTGTGAATGGGAGTAATACAGGCAAGGAAAATAATTTCTGTAACTTGGTATAATTAGAATCTCAGATTTTCAAAGGTGATTTGAAATGTGCCCGCAGCCAATCAACACCTTTAGTGTCTGTTATTTCATCTATTTATTAACCTGCAAATATATGTAGGTTTTCATTGCAATTAATCCATATGGACTGAGGCAGAGGTGGAAATATCTCCAGCTGCCTCTCTTTCTTTCAAGTTTACATTCTCCACAGATAGCAACATTAATGGACAGCACAGAGTATCTGCAACCCTTGTTTGATTTAGAAACTCTGAAGTAGACATATGTGTCTCCTATAAGCCGTTTTATGTCCTTCAAACCATGGGATTTGGCTTCTTAACTGGGTCAATTCACCATGCAACAGGCTATTCAAAATTAATATAATTTTCAGAAGGGTCTACTGAGGCACAGTTATCTACTAAATCAAACAGCAAACCTAGAAATTCATCCTTGCTTCCTAAACTTTTACTAAACAGCTAGAATCAAACAAAAATTACAAAACTCACAACTACATCTGGTCTCTTAAAAAGTTAAGCAACTTTTTTCTTTTTCACTAATAGATGCTGCAAGGCAATAATTTTCATGTCCTACAAAAATATTCATGATTTCAAAGCACTTCCTGTTCTGTACTGCATACAAAGAACCAGAATTCTTTTGAATGTGTTTAAAAAACACAAAGAGAGGGTCCTCTACCCACCAGGTAGTTATCAACAGGGTTGTCATACAGTCGGAACAGAGTATTCAGATTCTTATTCTTGCATAAGGGAGTTCTCGCCTGTCGGCAAGAATCTTAGTTCCTGGATATTATCCCCTACTGATGCATGGGTGCACTTCTCCCTCCCTCTCTCTCTCCCCCTCCCCACTTTTTATTTTTCTTTCTTTCCCTATTGATAGTTTAGTCTGGTTTTTTTTTTTTCCTTTCTTTCCCACTTAAGAGTTAAGAAAACTGGTATATTCCTCTCAAAAAAATGAGGTTTGACGGATCGAATTCTTTAAAAAGAAAAAAATAAATAACAAACAAAAAAAGATGATGGGTTACTGGATCATAAATCAAGTTTATGGCCAATCTTATATTTGATTTCCGAACCACCAGTGACGAATGTCACAAATATGTCAAACTTGATTTTGATTAAAAACAAACTGAAGTTAAAAAAAATCATGTTACCAATTCTGAAGCTTTATTAAAAATTACTATTTAACTCCAGAGATACAATCTAGTTGCAGATATATTGATCCTGCTCAAAGAGAAAGTGCCTAAATTCATATTCAAAGTCTATCAGACTGGTTTTACATTTAAAACATATTGAACAATCTATCTTGTGGCAATGAAAGTGAGAGCCATCACAATCCGTCACCCTTCTGGTAACTAGCCAGAAGATAATATTTTTACATCAGCTGCCTACTTCCATACTGCTCTTTCTAAGCTGCCCTTTTAAGTTTAGAAGCTTATGGTCACAATATACATTTCCCTATGCAAAATTCTGTTATTTGAAGAGACCACCCACCTGTTACAATTTAGCAGAGCTAATGAAGAAAAGCTTAATTCAAACTGTACATAAAAAAAAATCACAAATCTGGATATCAAAAATAGAACTGCCTCAAACCCTACAAGACTTATAATAGAAAAAAAAATAATTCAAAATTTCTATGTTCATGTCTGTTTTACAAAGTGCTCTCAGATTCTTCCTTGCAAATTGTAATGATTACAGTTAATTTCAGTTTCTTAGAGGCAGGAAGGGCTGTGGAGTTGTCTGCAACTCAGAAATCCAGTTTATTGGGTAGACACTTCCTGCAGGGGAAAAAAAAATAAAAAAAATCACAGGAATGGCTGCCTTACCTGGCCAGTCTGAGTTATCTATATTTCAGAGTATTTCTTCAACTTTTTTATTGAAGTAAAACTTCCTTTCTGAGGATGAAACCCCTTCTGATCCTTTTGAGATTTGAGAAAATGAGATTAAACCTCTTATGTTTATGAATTTAGACCATTTTTAGAAAAAAAATGACTGATATAGCCCTGTAACGCATTGCAACTAAGGCACAGAATTAAATCAGGCAAGGAATTCATTGCTATGCTAAGGCAAAATATTCATACACTTTGAAACAAAAGAAGCCAGAGGGATGGAGTTCTTTTCTTGAAGTCCACACTGTTTCTCTGACTTCACCCTGCAGTTAAGAAAGATCCCCCATCTCAACTTGCCTCTAGAAATTAAGGAATTCCTCATTACTATTATCTTCCCTGCTGATTTTCTGTGCCTGGATTTCTTTTTGCGCTCACTTCATTCCGCTAATTTTGCCACAGGCAAATCACTCCGGGGACAAGGCATCTCTGTCAGAGAAGGGACATTAGGTCTGATTAACTAAAAGCTGAACCTTCAGGCACTTCTGAGCATGGTGCCTGGCACTACTCCCTACTCCTCATGCCCTCAGAGTTGGACGGTGTCCGGCTATTAAGTGCACGTGGTGTGCTTACCCCTCTAATTACTACATCTCAACATTTAACCAAGCATTTTCAAGCCTGCTAAACTTATATCAGTGGCAGCAGAGAAGATTTCAAATGAGATTAAAACAATAGATTTGATTTTTATACTGCTGTGATAAGGTCCGTATCATGATGGGGCTCTTTAAATAAAGCACTGTCATTAGAAAGTCATCATTTATGAAAAGCTGCTGTAGATGGCAATATTTAGGAATCACAGGTATTTATAAAAATAGGAGGAAAAACTATAGCATTTCAGTTGATAAGTGCTGTACCTTGGAAAACAGTT